CTCCTAAGTACTTCATCCTCACAATATCGTATGATTCAGTTCCATTATTTCTTAACTCCATTTTACTGATTAAGAAACTGAGGCAGACAATATCTTTGCCCAATTCCATACTACTTGTGGAGCATTGCCTATCTAGTCCCAAAGTCTGTGTACTTAACCACTGTACCAGACTGCCACTTATCACATCCATATGCAATCTGGACATGTATCTGGGTATGAATATCTTAGTAGTGGTAAAGCCAGGCTTTTATTCAGGCCTACTCTGACTTAGGGTCAATGCTGTTTCCGATCACACTACTGTCTCTCATGTTATCTCATACTAAAGCCTTATTTTTAAGATCTGGAGTAAAACCTTGTACAATTTGATTCTATTCAGCAGCCATTAACTGAAGGTAGCAGTGTGAGAAAGATTTGGTTCAACCATACACCACAGAAGCAGCACAGGAGAGGGAGCACCAGCATACTAGCCGCAGCACCAACTCCCAGAATATGCTGGAGGATGTCAGCTCCTCTGAGTCATCCCTATCTTGTGTGCTGTGCTTCTCTATCTTCATTCTTAGGAGGTAGTATGGTTGATGGAATAGGTGTTAGACCCAGGACCAGGGGACCTAGGTTCCAGGCTAGAGCAGCCTCCAGCTGGCAGAGTGCCATTGGACAGGCTGGGCACAAGGTCCCTGCTTCACATACTTAGGTCACTTAATCCTCTCAACTGCCTTATGATCAGGCGTGACAAATAGTTTACAGATGAAGGATTTGTGATTCAGAGAGTTAAGTAATTTCATCAAGGTCATTGATGATGCTATTCAGTCCCAGTCTGTCTGACTCCAATATCTTCACATATACTCTACCAGGCTGCCTCCAAAGTCACTGAAATCCTCTGAATCTCAGAATCCTCAAGTCTAAAGTACTATGGGCCCTAGGGCTTCTCTGATGGTGTCTCACAAGTCATTTGAGAAAGGCAGTCCAAGGAGACAAGGCCCATACTGCTGCCTACTCCTGATATGCACACAGAAGGACACACACACACACCCCCCAAGCAGTGCAGAGCGATGCTGCTTTGACCTTGTAAATATGGCTCTCTTCATTTAGACTGAAGGCAAGATCTGCTGCAAAAAAACTTTGGGGACCACTTTGCAAGTGATCTTTAAGGCCTGTCTTAGTTTTCATTTCTAGGGAAGAATCAAAGTGGTAAAGGTGTAATAACTTCAGTAAATAAAGCCAGTCAGAGGAGACACTGGATTCACCCATCTGCATCTGACCAGGGGCAGATCTTATGCCTTTGAAGGAAAAGGCTGTGCCCAAACTCTGCCTGTCTAAACACAGTTTAGAAAGTGTCTTGATAGTGTTGGTGAAGACGGCCTTCTTACCCAGGACCAGTTGGTGAAGAGCACAGTCTGAGTTTTCTTCTCTAGTGATCACCACCCTTCCTTGAGGATTTCAATTGGTTAGGGACGAAAGAGATGTACTATTTACAGTTTGTTTGATTTAAGTCGTCGTTTTTTTCTCTTTCTCTCTATCTTGCCTCATATTCCTTTTACCCTGTCCACTTTCAACTCTGTCTTCCTTCTCTGGCCTTAAAGCCAGTTGGTAGACAAAGAAGGGTTGGTCTGAACTGATGTAAAAAATGAGCGAATTCACTTACTACAAGTTCTGTCTTTTCCCACTTGTATTTCCACACAGAGGCTTGGTGCTTAGATGATAGCTATGAGGCAGGCATCTTGATAAATTCATACGCATTTATCCCTATTGCTCGTATACCTCTTCATGAAAAGTTTCATGTGTAGAAAAGAATAAAGCCAACAAAATACCGAGTGTTAACCATAGTGATGGTGATAAAACCTTTTTAAAAAGTTTATTGAGGTATACTTTACATACCATACTATTCCCTCATTTTTAGTGTGCAATTCAATAATTTTTAGTGCATATACAGAGTCATACAACCATCACCACAGTTGATTTGGGAACAATTCCATCACCCCAAAAAGATTCCTTGAGCTCCTCTGTACTATCTGTTCCCACCTCCAGCCCCAGGCAACCACTAATCTATGTTCTGTCTCTATAGATTTGCTGGTTCTGGGCATTCCATATAAATGGAATCATATAATACGTGATATTTTGTAACTGGATTCTTTCAGTTACTGTACTCTTTGAAAAGTTCATTCATATTTTAGCATGTATCAGTACTTTGCTCCTTTTACATGACACGTTTTTGAATGGCGGTGTTATATAGAGGAAGGAGCATGAATTTCAGAAGCACAAACACAAGGCTGAATGTAATCTGTGCCACTTAGCTGCATGACTTTGAGCATGTCTCTTAATCGTTCTGAGACCTATTTGTAAAATAAAGATAATGATACCTCTCTCAGAGGATTACTCTATGAAATAGCTGGATTGTGATGACATAAAGTGGGCACTCAAGAAATTCAGTCCTTCTCTTTAAATTCCCTCAAACCTTTGCTTCTCTCACCCCTGTTCCAAAAATTAAAGTAGATCTTCCAGCACTCCTACCAGTCTTCACATCAAGCTTGAAACGAGAACCCACATAATAAGCAATATCAGAAACAGAATTCTGCCAAAGGGAATCACATCCTTCATTAATGGAGCCCAGATGGTAAGGAACTAAAGGGATTTCCTTCAATTATATTGCTGTTGGATTTTTTTTTTTTTTTTTGAGACAGACTCTCAAGCTGTTGCTCTGGGTAGAGTGCCATGGCATTATAGCTCACAGCAGCCTCCAACTCTTGGGCTTAAGCGATTCTCTTGCCTCAGCCTCCCAAGTAGCTGGGACTATAGGTCCCAGCCACAACACCCAGCTATTTTTGTTGTTGTTGTTGTAGTTGTCATCATTGTTGTTTGGTGGGCCCGGGGCTGGATTTGAACCCACCAGCTCCTCCGGTGTATGTGGCTGGCGCCCTAACTACTTGAGCTACAGGGGCCAAGCCTGCTGTTGGATTTTTATAAAGAATTTTAAATTACATCTACTTATTCTTTTAAGGGGGAAATTGTGTCAAATTCTATCCTAGAACATTCTATGGAGTTGGCCTTCCCTTTGCAAGCCTCTTGAGAATATCATATTTTCCCATTAATTCTTATAAAACTTCCTCATTAACATAAACCCTCAGGTAATATATAAGGAAGAAGCAAAGGGCTGCAAACCCCAGAGTAAATAACATCCCAAGCAAGGTATTATACATCTATAATCCCAGCTACTCACGAGGCTAATGGGGACCATTGCTTGAGCCCAGGAGTTCAAGACAAGCCTGGGCAACACAGTGAGGCAGCCATCTCAAAAAAAAAAAAAAAAGAAAGAAAAGAAAAAAAAAATCCACCTCAAATCCTCAAAACTCAACTTTTAGCCAATAATTTCAGACCTTTTCTTCCCTAACTCGTTAGAAGAACCTGAATTTCATGTGTGCAGCAACATAGACTGAATTGAACTTCTTGTTCATTTCTCTAGTCTGTCTTCTCTGATGGGAACATGTTTTCCTTCTGAGTTGCCACTTAAAAGGATCCTAAGTGTAATTCCGTACTACACTCCTGAACACAGTTCACAAAGAGGCTACCTCTTGGCCCTGAGCATAAAATTCCCTGTCCTGAACCTGCATTCCTTCGGAATCATTGTTTCTCTCCACTTTTAAATTCACCACTCTTCCCTGTCCTGCTGCTTATTGCTTTTTCTCCCCTTGTCTGGGACTTATCACAACTGCTTCCCCCCCCACCCCAAATTCCTGCAGCACTTGATTTTCTTCTACTTCCCAGATTCCCTTCCTATTAAGTAGAAAAGTTAAAACAGAAAGTAATAAGGCTTCTCAATATTTAGTCAATAAAGTAGATTTGTACCATATTTTGTTTATCTCTCTTTTCAAGGAGTCTAGAGCAGTATCTTTTTTTCATGATATAAAATGAAATGTAAGCTAGTTATTAAGAGAGTCAACAAGTTTTATATACCAGTAATAGTCATGGTATTTATTATTCACATTAAAAATGGCAAAGAGTCTTTCAAATAGGTAATATGTAATTCTCCTACATGTAATCAATCTATAGCATTATTAGGTGAGTCTAATTTCAACCATTATTTTGCTAAAGCCATATTTACATATAAGGGAGAAAGACTATATTTAGACTGAACCAAACGCTTCTTATGGGGTGGCCATAAAGTCTGTGTGCAATTTAAAATTGTATGCACAGGAACTTTAAGGCCACCCTGTATATTTGTATAAGGATTTCTGTATCTCCTTGGTCTGAGTACTTATCTTAAATATAGGAACTAACGACAAAATCCATGGCTAACTTTTTCCCCGATATTAGGAGATCAAGAAGGAGTAGATGGGGTCCCTAGAGACAAGTTTTCAGTGACCGTTTATTACCTAACAGAGGTTTTGGAGTCCACGAACATAATTTTTAAAAGGGGGACAAAAGTAGCTTAGGTTTATCAAGATTAGAGGATTTCTCCAATCTGTAAAAAATTTTTCTTATGCTTAAGCTTACCCTTTCCTATCACTATAGTGAAGAGAGTAATTTATATCCAGGACTTTATTTTAGAGGTTTTATTTTAGGCAATATCATAGGAATTTATCTCATGGTAAAAATAGTTTAGTAAATCTGGGGTTTAGCAAGGATTTTTCTCTCTACAGCACAGGCCTTTTGTTCAGCAGCAAATGATAAAATAATCTTGAGGCATGATGATTTAACTGCGGTCTGATGCCTGAACAACCCCCCACATCTTAAGCTCCAAATTCCAGTATGGGGTCATTATATTAAAATTAACTTAAAAAAAATCCCTTAAAGATCCACATCATACACAAATCATATATATGTGCCACACAACCTTCAGATTACACTGTGGCATATAGTTTGAGTCTAGCTCTCTAGAGCAAACGAACCTCAGGGTGATTGATTAAAAACTCCAATTTGGAGAAATCATCTCTGAGGCCTTGGCCACATAAAATTCTGTCAGCATCCATGCAACGTGTTTTGTGAATTAACCACATGATGCCTACCCTGAGATGGCAGCCAGTTTTTGGTGTGCCTGACGCGCCATTTCACAGCCTTTGGTTCTCGTCTTGTGCATTTCCTCCCGTAATGAGGGGCAGCTGACTGAGACGTCCCCAATAGAAATGACCAACTCTCGGTACAGGGCCACTTGTGTGTTGAACTCTTGGACAAGCTGGAAAAGAAAGGAGTTTCTTTCAGCAAACATTTATCACCATAAAGTTTCCTATTTTGTTGTAGATAAACAGAGGCCTTTGCTGATTCCTGAGCCAGCCCCCAAAATCTCCAAGTAAGGAGCCGAGGACTTGTTTAAAGCTTAAGGCACAAACATGGCAAGCCTCTGTGTCCAAGGCATGTGTTTACTTTTCATAGGCAAGCCTGGCCAGGGAAGCTCTATTTCCAGACCTACATGCCCCCGCCCATTTAGACTCAGTTTTTGAAGAGCAAGAACATATTTGGAGTGATCATGCCATTCCAGGTCAACAGAGAACGGTGCTGGGGACGACCGCATGGATGATCCCCTTTGCTACTGCTGGGATGTGGACTTGAAGTTGCAGGGGCGGGGTGGGGTGTAGACCGAAGGGTGGGGTGAAACAGGCAAACCGTTCACCTCCTGCTGGGACACGGAACATCTCGGGCTCTGGAGCCTGACTGAAGACCGGCCACAGCCTCTCCCTGGAACCTTCGTCCCTTCTGTCCCCTCCGCAGGGCCCAGGGCACTCTGTTTGGGTCTGTTTGCTACTGTCTCCCCACAAAACAGCACCGCCAGTTCCCCACAGTCCCTCCCTCCCCGTGAACCGGCCAGTTCAACGTGTCTTTCGTATCCACGGTGGCCGCTGACCCCGAGACCCTTGCTGTGGCACTTCTCTCTACCGGGCCATTACGACCCGGGTGTCACCTCGAATCTGGGGGACTGCAGATTTAAAAATAGTGTATGTGCACGTGATCCGCATGGAGGAGCTGAGGGTGGGGGAGTGGCTGGCACTCATGCAAATGATTAACATACACGACTCCCCCCACCTTCTCTCAAAATAAAAAAAGAAAAAGAGGCGCCGTTTTTACCCACCATCTTGCAGTCGTCCAGGGCTCGCTGGGTTTTGTGGGCGCTCTCGGAGCCGCTGCCCCTGCGCTCCCAATCCCCGCTCTGCAGCGGGGGCTTGCTGATCTGGAAGATCGAGGAGCGGGTGGACCGGCTGGGGCGCTTTTTGCGCCCATTCGGTGCAGAACTCATGCATACACATCCACCAAGCCGAAGCCGCTGGTGCAGTGCGCCCCGGCGCGGGCGGCCCGCTCGTTGCCCTGCGCGCCGCCGCGGAGCAGCCGGAGCCGGGACCCGAGGCGCGCTGTTCACAGGGTTAGGACTGGCTGCGCGGGTCGGTAACCTTCAGCTTGAAGGAGAGCCGGGGAAGGGCTGGCTGTGCCGTGCAGCATCGCTTCCACTAGCAGCGAGGAAGGGGCGCGATCAAGTTCTGCTCAGCAGCATTGCCGGCCCTGTCCCGGGAGCTGGGCGCTGGCGCGGGCTCGCACCGCCTTCCTCTCGGCATGGATCGCTAGGCTGGGCGAGAAGGAACGCGCCGCCCGGCGGTTCCGAGTTTCCATTCAGGTGGGGGAGCAGCTTTCAAAGCCTGCGCTGCAAGGTGGGGGGCGGAAAGGGGTGTCGCTCTTCCTTCAGTATCTTCCCGCAGCGGTGCTCAGTTGGTCTTTCCCCTCCCTCCACTGTCGCCAGGCCTGGAAGGGCTGGCCGTCCCCAAGCAGGCAATTGGCTCTAATCGGCTGCCTTGATCCCTCGTCTCTAAGGGCTTGTCTGTTTGAGGATCCCAGATGAATCTGTGGTGGGACTGGCAGACGCAAGGAATCGGCCCGGCTGACGTTGTTCGCTGGCCCGCACATTGATAGGACGGGAATACTAATGTGATCCGTCCATACAACCTTCTTCCCCATCCACAGTTTATGCACTTATCCAATCAAATTCCCGGGAACATCAATTGCAATATTACTTCATCTGCTCTATTATTAGAAAGGAAAAGTGTCATCAGAGTGGAGCACATTGCCACATGCTGGGACCTAAACATGGATTTCAATAACCCAATGTGGGCTTGAGGCCCTCCTCGTCTAAGACGGAGACTGGGGTCACAGGAGGGAGTGAGCTTTTTGCTTTAAAAAAGGAGATCTCTTAGTAAACTAAAAGGAAAGCTTTCTTTCCTTCCGTTGTTTTTGTTTTGTCTTGGTTTTAGAGGGGAAAGGGTAGTTAGGCAAAATGAACAGAAGCCCCCACTCAGATGGGCCCTCATCCCCTCATCCCCATCTCATTTCAACTAGTAAAGCTCTTGGTCTTGTAGTTCAGGGTCTTAGGACGCAGCTCTGAGAGTTTCCCAGTAGAGGTTTGAACAAGATCCAACCGGCCTTCCTGGGCACTCAAAATGTCCTTCTTTATCAGACATCAGTAACCCAGAGGCCAATGCAGGTGGCCCAGGAAAGTGGAGAGAATGCTTGCATGAAAGGGGTGGGAGTGAGGGCATCAGCCATTTAAGTTCACCCTCACCACTGACATCCTGCTAAGATCCTCCCAGAGGGAATGGTGTGAGTGTTCTACTCTAATGCTCTGAGAATGCTTGTTCTCATAAATGATTTGTTTGGAGGGGACCAATAAAGTGGTCTGCCACAGGGCAACTAGTTATGTGTGGAAAACGCTAATGAAGAACAAATCAGAGGTTCTTGGTCAATCTCTTAAGGAGATATGGAGAGCCAGAAATAGCCAGGGAGGCTAATATCCTAGGAGAGTGGCCTTAGAATTTTTTACAAGACAGGTAAACATGATGAGCTGCTACCATAAGAGAGGCAGTTGTTCTTTCTTCCCAGTTCCTGGAACAGAGCTTCTAAAACCCTCAGAAATTACCTGCATAGTAAGGGTGATAAGAGTATCTTATCAACACAAAGACCAAGCTTTGATTAGAAGTTTGGAAATTTCAACCCCACCTTCAATCCTCTGGGGAAGAGAGAGGAGCTAGTGATTGTATTAATAGTTTACTTAATCAATCATGCCTACCTAAAAATATCTGCGTAGAAACCTCTAACTAATGATGGAGTTTGGGGTAGGTTCTGGTTAGAGAAAGACATCTAGGTGTTGGAAGGGTGGCATACCCCTCCTCTGTACGTTGCCCTGTACATCTCTTCCATTTGACTGTTCCTAAGTTGAAATCTTTATGATAAACTGGTAATAGTAAGTAAAACTCTTTCCTGAGTTCTGTGAATCATTCTAGCAAATTTTCAAACCTGAGAAGGTTGTAGGGACCCCCCAAATGTGTAGTCCAGTTAGACAGAAGAGTGAATTAAGGTCAGTCTTGTGGGTCTGAGCCCTTAAACCTGTAAGTCTGAGGCTATCTCTGGATAGTGTCAGGAATGAACTGAATTATAGGACATCTAGTGGTGTCCGAGAGTTAGAGAAGTGGTGTTAGAAAAGACACCACCTTTGGTTGGGGAGGGAAAAAAAACACTAACAGGTGGATATCTGGGATATCTAGATGAATATTCAACCATATTGCCTGGGATTTGATGAGTGGTGAGGATGGTGGGGATGGTGAGAATGGTGGGGACGGTGAGGAGGAAGGTAATAGAGGCTAAGGGACTTTAAAGAAGGATGGATAAAATGGCTTACGTCCTGTGTTATAAACCTGTTTTACTACCCCTACCTTATCCTAGCACCCACTGCCCAACTTTCAAGAAATTCTGGGCTCAGCGCCTATAGCTCAGTGATTAGGGCACTGGCCGCCTAACACCGGGGCTGGCAAACCCAGCCCAGTCCAAGTAAACAACAATGACAACTACAATAAAAAAATAGCTGGGTGTTGTGGCAGGTGCCTGTAGTCTCAGCTGCTTGGGAGGCTGAGGCGAGAGAATCACTGACGCCCAAGAGTTTGAGGTTGCTGTGAGCTGTGACGCCACAGCACTCTACCAAGGGTGACATAGTGAGGCACTGTCTCAAAAAAAAAAAAAAAATTCTGCCAAAGTCCATGGTTTGTGGTGCTTTGAAGAATTAAAGGAAAAGAGGCTGCCTTCTATGTGTGTGGATGTGGATACAGGATGGAGAGAACAGGACAGTGGAGATGAGTCTGCTAGAAATCTTTTGCCATCGCTCTCTTGTTTCATCTCCTTTCCCTGCAGGGAACTAGCAACTTCCACCAGATTGGAGCGTCCCAAAGCTCCTCAGTAGTAGGTTTCTACTCTAGCTACAACCATCTGGTTTCTACCCACCCTCTTCTGCCTAGAGACAATTTCAACAAATTAAAAGAAGAAAAGCAACACAATTGCACTGCCCTGTTTCTATGCCATATTTCTTGCAGAAGCTGGTTGGGGGAGGTGGGTAGTGATGAAGAAGGAATAAATAGGTCAAATGTAATGCTACATCTGAAGGACTACAGACTTGGAAACCTGCTAGGGGATTAAGTAGAAATTGTCATTTGTAGGTGGCCCTTGGCCTTCTCTGATACACAGCCCAAGCCATTTTCCTGAGAGGGAGAAAAAGCATCAATCCCAGAGCTGTCTCTCCCAGCGACAAATGCTGTAATCAGAATAGCAGCAGGCAGGCTTAGTTCCCTCACCTTCCCCCACATTTGAAATGGCATGAATTTACATTCCTGAGACTGTCTGACTGCCAAGTAGAAGGGTAAAGTATAGTTGAAAATTTCAACAACAAGAGCACCATCTTTTGGATACTCAGACCCAATTTAGGTACATCCCAGACAGTGGGTCCTCACCTCTATAGGTGTAGGGCTGTGACAAGAGTCATACCCTAAATTCACTCCAATATTCTTCATGTTGGTTCTATAAAAAACTACAGGGGAACCCAGAGATTATCTCCTCAAACCTGGTTGGCCTTGTTGAGGGTAAAGGGTCCCAATTCCCTGAACTTAGTTGACCTGGTTCAGTTACTCAGCTGAGCTAGAAAGTTCAACAGAAGCACTGCGGCAATTGAAAGCAAAAATGAATGTAAACTGAAAATAAAACTGGAGCAGCACAGGCAATGTGAATAGGAAGTAAAAGTAACCTGCACAGAGTTTCAGTATAACAAAGAGAAATTTTATTTAGGAAGAACAAAGTGAAAGTTTAGAGCATTTCCAAAGAGAGTTGGAAGCAGGTCTCTCTTATGAAGGCAGAAGGTGAGAGAGAGGCACACAGGGGCAGTATGGAGGTATAAATACTTCTTTGAAATATGTTGTAAGTCTTTCATTGGTCTACCTGTGCCACCAGGCATTATTGCCTGTTTTTATCGGTCAATGATTATTGTTGTTTTTTACTGGTCGTTGGGTACCTAGGGTACCTCATAACCCCATTTTTTTTTTTTTTTTTTTTGGAGACAGAGTTTCACTTTGTCACCTTGGGTAAAGTGCTGTGGCCTCATAGCTCACATCAACCTCAAACTCTTGGGCTCAAGCGATTCTCTTGCCTCAGCCTCCCAAGTAGCTGGGACTACGGGAACCCGCCACAACATCCAGCTATTTTTAGAGTCATAACCATATTCTTATCTGCCCTCCAGACTTCCTTGTTTGGTAGGCCAAGCTCTTCTTCCATCTCCCATGAAGCCCGTTTCGTTGTGTTCCTTCTCAGGCCTCTCACAAAAGGTGATACTGAGTGGCATATTTCATCTGGGAATAAAGTCCAAGGAGGTGAAATATATATATAAAAGTCTTATCTGAGTGAGTCTGTGACAGAGGCAGAGAAAAATACATTAAGATGCTGAGTTCTAAAAGCTAGGGAGATCTGAAGGGCATGGTGAGTTATTTCTGTTAGTGTCACAGGGCCAAAAATCAAGGTATTGTGAAGAATTTAGTAAATGAACTAATAAATTTTTTTTTCCTGCCTGATAACAGGAAGGAGTATAATATTTTGCAAATAAGTTACTAATTTCACAAGTATTTTGGAGTGTTTTTATTAGAAGCAGATCTAGGTTTTGTTGGTCCTCAAGCTTATACACTTTGCAGGACCCTCTTTAAGAAACAGAATACCAAAACTTAAATATGAAATTAGATACATGGTCTCAGAAGGAGCCTATGCAACTGAGATTCCCTGAAGTTTAGGTTCATCCCCTAAATGGTAAACTTGGTGTCTCCTATATGAATAACAGACATCTGGTGTTTTGTTTACTCAGTTTTTGATTTTCCCTTTTTCAATGATAGCACCTTAAACTTCCTTTGAGAAATCAGTCCTCTATCACTTTTTGTCCACATGGCTCTGTGGGTGGACCTATTACCCAGGATTGGCCATGAGAGTACTGCATTCCAGTGGCCACAATGACTGGGTTATTAATATGTAAGAAATCCAAGCTGGTCCAATAAACATTAACCTTGGAACATTTTTTTTAACTATTACATTGAAATCTAGGAAATTGCCATAAATTAACCATTTTTTACTTATATAAATGGAAATTTAATGTATTTTGACATAATATTTAGGTTTTTTTCCTTTCCATTGTGTTGGTAGGTTGGTAAGATGAAAGCCTGGAGTTTCTGATGGCAACTTTTGCCTTTTATGGTCAACAGACTGCCTGAGATCTAACCTAG